AAATACATTCTACTAGGCTTTATTGTCAGACAGGGTTAGATAAAATGAACTGAAAATAATATGCTGGTAACACACATTGGTAGTAGACTTGAAATAGCTAAGAAGTTCTAGAGTGTCGCTTTGACATACCCTTAGAATATGCTGAAATACAAAATTTTACGATTGTTTTCCCTTGACATCCCGACAGATCATCCTCTTATCATTGCTCGGTTGTCTTCTATTATTAATGTAATAATCCTATTCTTTATTTCCAATTATTAATGTAATCCTTATTCTTTCTCAAATATGTTCTTATTTTCATTCTTTTCTCTGATAACCAATATTCTTGTTCTTAAAAATAACGTTATATCCTATGTGAGATAGACGCAAATGAAGTAGTATGTAATCAATATTAATACCAAGAATAATGGTAATTCTACGGTTTCATTTTGGTATGATGTATTAAAATAAAATAGATTTAACTATACTAATATAATCATCCAACCAAATGACATTTTAACGTCTCTAAGTTTACTTACAGTTACAGTCAAATAAAATCTTTATCTGACGATTATCTGATATAATAATTTCGATCGAAAAAAGATATGAAAATGTTTCTCTATAGATCTAATCGGTTTTAATCATATTCTTGTCAACTATATAAAGAGATGATTATGTTATTTTCGATCAATGTTTTACCGAAGTGAATAATTGTTTCCATTCTTGAAAAAGTTCAGTATCTTTTAATTGATTATAATTTTCATCTGTGACACCATTTAAAACAATGACAAGAATTTGTTGAAGTTTTTGAACACGTAAAATTTTACACCAACTACAGAAGAACAAAAGCATTTTTAATAATATCAGTGGAAAAATTAATTTAAAAATTTTTCACCTAGCACTATAAGCTCGTGGACATTTATCAATACAGCTAAGTAATAATGTTTGAATACTTTTAACGGTTAAAATAACTTGATTTGTTTCGGTATCGTCATTTGATGATAAAACTTGATTTGAAGTTATTAAAAATTTTGGTTTATTCTAAATTAATAAATGTAAATAATTAATAGAGAAAATATTATTATAAACTTACGCCTTTAATTTTTCGTCTTGCATTTATTGCCAAAACAAATTGACGTTCAAATTGAGGCGAAGGGTTTTCAATTATATTCATCATTCATAAAATTTTGAGAAAATGATTGATTCATTGATCGATGAAAATATTAAACGAATAGAAATCAAATGACATTTTAATTAGAATTTTATCTTATAAAACTATAAGACAAATTATATTTATTTAGATTGTAATTATTATTTTGAAAATTCATTATTTATTCAATAATAATATTTCAATAGATGACGCTTCTTTCCTGTTATTGATATTTAGCTTCACATATATGCTATTCAATGATTTTGTTTTCGATAAAAACTAAGGTTTTTTCTTTTACCAATATTAGAGATGATAATTTTGACTTTGATGTGTAAAAGTTGGTTGTTCATAAAAAAAACCGTATTTTTCTTATATTAAAATGAAATAAATAGTCGAAAATTAACTCATTATCTTCATAAGAAAATAGAAAGATATCTTTTTTGTGTTTTGTCATTTTATTCTAATCTTATCTTTCATTAATATAATAATAAAAATATCCGAAATAAAAACTTCTTATATCTAAGAAAAGTATGTTTACATATTCTAAATAAAATAATTACATTCATACTAGTTTTATCATTAGATACGATTACTTTTAACATATGCACAATTTTTTATTCTCCTTAGTAGAAATATACAATACAAGAGGTTCAACATAATTCTGACGTAAAATAGATAAGTACGTCTCTATGTATACGTAAAATGCAGAGAATCGGAATTTTTTTATCCAAGTAGTGGTGATTTTATTAGAAAAATTGATTGTATATGCATTATTCATGATAGAAAAACTAGTTTATTGTATTAAAATGTCTTTGAAAACATTGATATTATTCTTATAAAAGTTCTCTCATCATGTCATTATGATGTTTGTAAATAATGATGCGAGAAAGAAAAACGAAACGAAGTCTTTTCATATAAATAGTGATAAGACGTTGTTTCTTTTATTCTTTTTCTAGTGAGTCGAACGGATTCAATCGAGATGGCGTCGTCTGGTGCATCATCATCGCCACCTATTATTCTTGTTCCAACTGAAATTTTAACTGTAGTTAATAGTGGGCCTGCTGTTATTGTGAAAAATGTGACAGAACCAAATGAACCTTTTAGTTTCAGTGAATTAATTTATTCAAATGTAAATGTATTAAAAAATGAAGCTAAAACATTACTTACATTTCATCCAAACGAATGGATCAGTGCATTTAGACCCAATCCTAAATTTCCACTATTTGTTCTTGGTGATATTGATGGATTTGTCGCTTTATTTATGAATAATTTAGCAACATTATTAGCTGTTATTCTTGGTCTTAGAATAGTATTCGAAGATGACATTATCTATGGGAAAATTGTCCCTGGGTAAAATCAATAAAATAAAATCAATTCAAAATAAAATAATGAATTTTTTTTTAGTGTATCATTATCTATGTTATGGGGAAATTTATATTATGTTTATATGGCAAGAAAACTTGCTTATAAAGAAAATCGTGGTGATATATGCACAATGCCATATGGTATTAATACACCGGGAGCATGTAAATATTATTTATTTTCGATTAAAAGAAAAAAAAGAATTTTTCTTTGTTTATTTTTAGTTGCCTTTATATTTAGTATAATATTACCAACTTATTTTGGATGTATTAATGGTGGTAGTGGTCGTGATAGACGAACATGTGAAGAATTAGCATGGTATGTCGCATTAGCAAGTAATTTTACAACGGGAATTATTCTTCTTCTCTTATGTGTTGTCGGTGAATTTATTAGAAGAAATACACCTGGTGTTGCACTTCTTTCATCAATATCAGGCATTGGTTTCACTTACTTAGCGCTAAATGAATATTTACCAGTAGCTGCATCACCTATTGTATCGTTTTTACCATTTGCAATTGTTATGCTTGGTTATTTTGCTGGAGGTAAATTTATTTAGAAAAGAAAAAACAAAATTTTATTGAAATTTGAATATTTGAAATTTTAGTAAAATTTGGTCCTGTTCCAGTTGCATTTGTTGCTCTTGTTGTTGGTACTATTCTTGGATGGTCAACACAATTAAATCAGGGTGTAGATGTACGAAATGCTACATCTATTGTTAAACCTTATCCATTAGCATTTCCAATTCAAGCAATGCTTTCACATATAGGTGAAATAACTCCATATTTATCAACAACAATTCCAACAGCTATATCAATAGCTATTGGAACAATACAATGTGTTGAATCGGCTAAACGAGCTGGAGATTTTTATCCAACACGTGAAGCTATGTTTGCTGATGGAATTGGAACATTAATTGCAAGTCTTTTCGGATCAATACTTGGAATGACAAGTAAGAGATATTTTAGTTAAGAAAATTGACTATTTTTCGAGTTTTTTAATGAAACAAATTTTGATGACGTATTTTTTTCTTTGGATATCTTATCAATGTTTTATCATATTTCTAACTAAATATGACGTAAACATATTTTGAACAAGGACATTTTATTCGTGTGATTTGTACTTTGATATGCTTAATTGCACTCCGTTGAATATACAAACATGTAAAACATTAAACATAAAAAATTTTATTATTTGAAATGGTTGATAAAATTAATTCTATGAAATCTTTTAAAAATATTGAGAAGTAAATATGATTCTCATTTAGCATTTATTGGTCATCCAGCATTTAAAAAAATGGGTGCAAAACAAGCTTATTCAATAGCCAATGGTATTGCTTTTTTGCCATTATGTTTTTTTGGTATAAATGCTCTACTACTTTCAATAATTGCTATTGTTTCAGTCAATCCAATTATTGTAAGTATAATATCGAAATATGATTTTTTTTACTATTAATTAAGTTTTTAATTCAGATATTTATTGGTCTTGTTATTTGTGCTGATACTCTTGCAATAACACCTCAACGTCATTATCCAGCATTTCTTCTTGGCCTTATGCCAATTGTAGCGGATTGGGCTAAAGGTACAATAATGAATGGTGTTTCAGGTGCTTATACAAATTTTGTTATAAATGATACTGACTTTACTAAAAATGTGACAGCACATATAACTGGATTTTCATATCGTGGTCTTTTAAATTTTTCTGGTGGAAGTCTTCTTCAATGTATATTTTTGACGGCTATATTCATGTATATGATTGATAGAAAATTTATACGAGCAGCTATATGGTGTTTAATAGCAGCATTTTTCGCTTTTTTCGGTTTAATCAATGCTCCGGGTGTTGGAGTTTTAGTGAAGAAAACGGATGATGGATGGAAATTTACTGTTGCTTATGTAATGATGGCAGCTTTATTTGGTTGTTTTGAATTTGCTCAACAAAAACATTTGGTTAAACAACCTGAAACAGAACCAGATGATTTATCATCACTTGAATGGGCCGAGTGGAATCGGCAAAGATTATTAGAAGAAAACAATGAAGATCAATACAATGTTTAGGACAAAAAGAAAAAATGAACATTGCCTTATTTTAGTTCTTATTGATATTTTAAAACTTTTGTGCAAAAAAAAACCTATTTAATTGACATGAAAATAAATTAAAAGGAAAAATCATTTCATCACAAATCTTATGGTTGTTATAAATAAAAAAATTCTGTTAAGACCTTCACTTCATAATTAGGAATATGTTATTGGATAGGTTTCTTATGTATTTGTCTGGTGGGCTTTGTAGTATGTCATTTGATCTTTTCTTTCTTTTTTAAAAATTTTTTGACTCATTTTTACCTCATTTTATTTTCTTCGATTGAGAATAAAAAACGAGAACTTCAACAATGACTTAATGATTTGCTTTTCTTTTTTCTTCTATTTTTTTTTCTTTCTTTTCTTTAATATTAGTAGTCGTTTTTTGATTATTTTTTTTTAATGTCGTTATTATTCTCGTTCGATCTCCTGCTGTGATGACAACAAGTAGAATACCATCAGATTATTATACATCTGATGAATTTACATATAGAAATAATAAAAATGGTGTTATTACAAATAAAACAAGAAATGGAAGTTATAATATTGTTGAAAAAGATTATGGTGATCATAAAGTTATTTATCATATTCCAATTGAATATGGTGATGATTATGATATATCAGAACTTGAAAATATGTCAACGGTTGAAGAAGAACAATCACAACAAAAACATAATTCACCAAAATTAATACGACGTCGAATTATTCATCAATATAGTGATTTTGATAATGATAATGATTATGAATATGTTGAAGAAGTACCAACGATAACGCCTCGTAATCGTATATATGTTTCACCAAGACGACAAAGAGATACACAAGTTGTCAAACACATTTATCAACCACCACCAGCATCTGAGACAATAGAATATGTTTATGAAGATGATTATCCAGATGATTACGATTATAGATTAGAAAATGAAGAACAAGTCGAATATATTGTAAGAGATCGTGTTCCACAACAAAGAGTAAGACTAAATAAATGTATTCAGTGATTTATCATGTCAATTATGGTTCAATATTTATATCAATAATATTACTTGTGTTTTTTTTTCTATTTCAGTATATGGAAGAACCTCAACCTATACGACGTATTGTCTATGCCCAAGATCCTTCTGTACCTCTTTCATCCTCAAGACCTGATCCACCATTTCTTTCTCCTCCTTCACCTGTTCGTTCTCCCTATCAACCATCTCCTCGTCCATTTATCACTCAAAAATCACCAACACAAGTTCTTACCAAACCAATTCGTCGAAATGAACTATCTCCACCACCATCAAGTAGAAAACAACAAACTGCTCGATCACCACCAATTCTTGAATCATCAGTCAAACCGAATATTCCAAAATCTACTGAACCACCTTTACGTTTAATGGATGTTATTGCACAAAATCGAGCAAAGCGAGGTTCACGTATACCGAAGCCAAAACGTGAAGTCGACGAAGAAAAAGTTTATGATCCACCAACATATAATAGAAACATTATTAAAAACGGTTTTATTGTTCATAAATAGACGAACAAGAACAAAAAGAAAACGAAAGAATTAATCTATTTATGATGAACAATTATTATTTCAATAATTTGTATTAAATAAAATAAAATACGTTCACGTTTTGTTTTTGTTTTTTTTATATTTTATTTTCTATTATACTCATTAGTCACGATTAAAAACCAGAAAGATTTTATCTAACATAGATCATATAATTGATAGGATATTAGGATGACTATAGTTGTCAAAAACTTTCGTAAATAAGATAATATGAATAAAAATTTATATTTAGTGTTAGATCAAAATGAAAAATTCATGTTTATTTGTACTGAACAATAGTATCGTTCATTAAAAGTCTTTTGAAGAATTTTAAATAAGAGATAAACAATAGATAGAATATTATTAATTAAAACAAACTATAAGTTTAGTTTATTGACAGATGAAAAATGATTATTCATGCCATCAATGATTATGCTTAATAAACAAATATTGAGAGTTTTAGTTCATTTTTAAGTCGCTAATACAGAACATCACAGGATGTAGAACTTGACGGATAATATTTGAGTTCTACAAGACACCCGATTCACTTAATTGATCGTGATCCAATGAAGGTCTGGCCTATTAGTAAAACTCTTCGTGATTTTCCATGATTATCAGTAGTAGCTAGAAGAGAAAATGCCATACTAGAGACTAATGTTTTTGTAGAAAAATTATTTAACTCAGCTGAATTGGCATTTAATAAAAAAACAAACGTATTTATTACCAAGTTAAATTGATAATCGTATTACTTATTCATTCATACGAGAAAATCAAGAAAAACTAATCAAACGAAAACCTATCCTTTTTCGCTATCCATCTGTTAATATTGATTATATGTTGAATTCTGTATGTTTATGTTTGTTTTATTATTGTTCTATTCATCTTATGAATGTCAAGTATCTTCTTTATTGTTCATTTCACTTTTGCTGGAACACATGTGATAAAGTTTATTAACATGATCATATTGTAAATCATTTTTTCTATAAATAGAACGTCTACGATATTAGGTATCGTACTTCATATACGTAACAAGCTTTTATTCTTGTCAGCAATGTAATGACAAGATCATTCTGTAGGCGGAACGTAGGAGAATCTTTTGTTCTGCAAGATGTATCCCGTCAGGATGGAGAAAACTGTTTCGTGACATTCTCTGATCCCTAAATTCGAAGACTAACTTTTCTTATCAAACATTTCAATAAATATGTCAACAAGGATAATCTCACTTAAAAACATGCTAGATTTAATGACACATATAATCAGATCAACATGAAATTTTTTCATTAGTAATATTCATATATTCGTAAATGCTCATAGTTTCTGAAATAATTGCACTACGTAAATTATGAGTTATATACAAATTAGGCAGTTAATACTATGTTTAAATAAAAATAAACTTGAGAAAATACATTTATGATAAACATATGAAACATATTTTAAATTAAATTCTAACACAAAATTATCATCTTGCAAAAGAAAAATATCGAAAACACAAAGAAAATATTTGTCATTCATAAGTTTATTTTGATCAAATTTCTGTTTGTCTCATATTTCTTGAAAACAAAATAAAAAATGATTCATATTTTCTTTTCAAAATAAAATAAATATGTTTTCCTAGGAAAAAAAAACAATTTTATTTATTTATATTAATTATCACTAACTGTAACCATAAATTCATGTTCTAATCAATAACGTCAACGTTTATCTCATTTTCTTTTTCTTTTTCGATATTTATGCATTGATTATATAAACGATACTTATTTTCTTATTTTCAATATTAATATTAGACGACATGACAATAGTCATACAAAGAAAATTCTCTATAAACAAAATCGTAAGTTTGTATTTTTCATCGAATTAAGATTTTCTCTTTTAAAAAAATTACACGTTTAATTATTGTTAGATTGTTTTTGTATGATTTCAGCTATTATTACCTTAGAATTCAATATTTCTTTGTTTTTTCAACGAATTGTATTTCGATCTCTACCGTGTGCATGTCGCAATTATTTAAATGAAGATATACATGTAGATTAGTTTATTGTTTGAAAACTGGCAAATATTCCACATTCAGTTGATCAATTTGTAGCAAATGGTACAGGTTGTTTAGTTCATCATCATTAGATCGATTGTATCTTTCGTCAGTAAATATAACATTATAATTATCATAAACTACTTAGTTTAACATTAGAACCATTATATAAATGAAAAGAAAATTCTAATATGTTTTATAATGAGCAACCATTAAATCAATTATTTTCCTTTGAATACGGTCATTGAAAAGATGTTTGAGCTTTTGAAGATAAAAATAAAAACTCAATTTTGGCTTATTCATAGTTTACTTCATTTTCCTCGAACTATTTAACAAAGTTGTGAATATTTAGACTCACACTATATTCTATCATTATTTTTGAAAAAATTTTGCATCTTTATTTTTAATAAGATCATATATTTGATCAAACGATGTTACGGATAAAAATCAATGCATCTACTGTTTATTTACCTGCTAATTTAATTGATTTACTTTCAATATATTTTCTTTGCACATAGTCATTTATATTTACTTCTGATTTAACTTCATTTACAACTTAACGTTATGCAATTCTTTCAAATGGCATAATAACAATTAAAGATCATGTCACTGATTCACCATATATACGTTTTTATATATTAAATATTTCCAGACTTGAACTTGTTAACATTTCCTAAATATAGTTTAGCTAATATAGATATGTTAAGTAAAACATTGTCAAATGGTAAACAAATAAATTTGTCATGAAATTGGTACGGGTCAATATCTGACATATAATTTTACTGCTCATAATGATCATTCACAGTTGCTGGTTAGCCAAAAATCATACATGGACACGTATTGGTGATATAAATCAATAAGTTGAACAAAAAAAAGGAAATTGTGGTTTTACTTGTATGAATAAGAAATATATTCAAGAAATATTTCAATAACTATTCCTTATGATTGCATCATATCCGATACAAAAAAAAACTAATTTATTGTTTCATCTTTTAATTATTTTGAATACAACGTCTTGTTAATTCATAATATAAAACAGACAAAGATTATTCTAATACGATAATGGTTAACATTTTTAGAGAAATTTTTCAAACTACAATTAAAATATTTAGAAAAATTGAATCATATTACGGATGAGTCGAAATTTTTATAACAAAATATTTGTTTATTTTTGACTACGTTGAAAGTGTCTCTAAGGGCTCAACAATTTTGTGTTCTTTCCGGATGTTGGCTTAGAAATTTTCGTTTCTCTTAAATTCTCAGTTTTGAAAAATCGATATTTTGACCAAAATGCGTTGTTGAATAGAAAAGAGCTCTTGGCAAAGTACTTATAGTTTCACTTAGATGAAAGTCACAGCTTAGTGCAACATAAATTTCTGTAAAGAAGTGTCTCTAGATAAAACAACTGACTCAAATATTTTCTGGATCTTCAAAAAGGAACTTATAGACGTTAGCAAAAGCCTATTGGATAATCATTTAATCTGCCTTTCTGGGTCTTTAAAAAATTTCTTGACTTGCTTCAAACAAAACTAGGCACAATATTTATAATTTCATTACTAAAGCGAGCACAAAATCCTGATTACCATCGATAAATTATTGCTTCTCTCAGATACTTTCATGTAGATTAAAACGAACAATCATCTATACCAGAAACTTCGACTCACACTTATCGCTCAAACTCATCTTTTTTTTTTTATCTTTCAAACATTACCTAACTACTCTCGAACAAAAACTAAGATAAAATTTTTTAGATCCTTATTCAGAGAGTGCACAATAAGTTGGTACTGATCCATAGCTTTGAGCTCTTTAGAAACACTTTCGAGGGAATCAAAAAGAAAACAAATAGTTTGCCTCTAAACTTTCGGCCCATTCATTAATATGTAAAGAAGAATTGTAATAATAATCATCAACAAAGGTCAGAAATTAAACAAGTTCTAATTGAAATTATACTTCTGCTAGGAGTAGATCTGAAAAAAAAGGCTATATTTTATCAACAAAAGAATCAATTAAAGTGAATGAATAAGTATAGTTCTGTATCTTTTGTATATAACATACTAGTTCTACGCATGAAATATTTTTGAATTCTTCCTTTTGAATAATCTGCAATTATGAAACTATATATAACCAATATTCCGTTGTTGATTATCTAAAACTTTCAATAGTGCTAAGTCAATCAGCAATTCGTAATCAAGTGTTATGAGGATCTTCAAATAAACACTTTTTCCTTATCGTAGTCACGATTGAATATGATTTAATTTCTAATTTATTGAAGAATTGTTATTACTTATGATTTTTCATCGACTTTTTTTAATAAAAAGGTTGTAAGAAGGAGAAAAAAATGCGAAATAAAATATCCATTTTATTCATTCATTGCAGGATTTGCTTAAAATAAACAAAACTAGATGACATCAAGAATTATTGTCAGTAACAGAATATAAGAAAACGTTTTTAGTAAGAGCGAAGAAAAAAGAATTTTTTTTCATTATGAGTGAAATTGTATAAGCTGCCCGCAATGATATCGATTGATTGTCAAAACTTATGCATCGAATTATTCTTCACCTAATCTAATTTAATAAATAAAGAATTATGAAATTGACTTTTATCTAAAAAGAAATCGCATCATGTTACAATAATCATATCGTTGGCGACTTTTCACCATATTAACTTAATAATGAATTTTAATTTGTTAATATGAAAACTTCATCATTGTCATAAAAGCTTTTTTTTTCATATTCCATCATGTATCGATTATAAAGACTAACTATATATAGAGTTTTGAAATCATGAATTATCTTTCTAAACGTTATAACAAGATGGCAGAAAAACAACGATTAATTTATATTCAACAAATTTATAAACAAATGGGGTTAATCATTTATCTAAAAGTCTTGATAAGTGATTACATTTAATACTCAAACTAATGAAATAATTTTGTCTCTATTGTCTTTATATGTTTATTTTAATATTTGATGATTTAATAAAATTTAGTTAAGTTTAAGAAAAATATTCAATAATTAATGATTTTCATACCAATAGATCAATGAAAATTTCGAGTTCTAGTTTATTTGTTTGAACTATTAAAAAGTTTGATAAAAAAAAAAGTTAAACAGCAAAGATTTCAATGTATATTTATGAATTATTTTTTAACAAAACAAAATGATCTTGACTGAATTCATGTTGAATTATTATTAACATGCGATGAGTTTATTTGGGTTTCATGCCAACCAATTACCGAGAATTATGGAAATGTTTATAGGAGGATGAGACAGTTTTTATTTGCTTAACATATTTATTAAAAATAAAAAACAAAAAAAAATCATAAGAAAATAACCAACATCCAATATATTACTGTCGGTTACTAAAAGATGGAAATATATGTAATAAAAACTGCATTTCATTTAAGTTTTTCTATTTCTTATCAATAATCGATTGTTTCGGTTCATATTGTATGTCATTTTTATATTAGCTGTTCTATTATCATGCACTGATATTGTTATTTTTATCATAGCTGTAGTAAGTACCTATTCTTGTTATACGTATATTTTTGTTGTTTTTCATTCGTTATTATGAGAAAGAGAAACAAGGTGATGTATTTTTTTTGAACATGACAGCAGATAATACGTTTGATATATTTTGATATAAAATTAGAACATTCATCCAAATTTAAATGTATTCTGTTCTTTTCTCGTTGTCTAATATCCAATTTTGTTTTTGTATTGTTCATTTCCGAACATCACGCGTTAAGAAAATCGATATAGAATTTTGTTTTAGCTGAGAATGAAATGTTGTTGATAAATCAATAATAAATAATACATATTTTCAAATAGAATCTGGTAACAATAATGTAACACAATTAATAAAATTTTTCGATAGTTTCAAATTAAACCGCATTCTAAATATACGATAATTACTTGCTGCACCACAACAAGTATTATTGTCATAAAAACTATCAAAATTTCGCGTAAAATATAATATGTATCATAGCATTATCTTTTGAACGTACAAAATACTTAAATATTAATTTTTTTTTTATCAAAGTCGAGTTTTTTGTTGCAAACAATCGATTTGTAAGATGAAACATTTTATACGAAATGATGTTTCATGGAAAAATAGTGTATTGAGAATAGAAAGAATCGTTTTTTATAATTTTTCTAAAAGCATATATTTAATCGAAGAAAAGGCGATGAACTATTTTGAGAGAGCAACATATAAAATAAAAGATAGAAATTATTGATAAAGATTTGATATGGTAATACAAGGCTTTACGATAAAATCTGTGATAAGACGTTTAGCAACTGATTCATCAATATTTCGACATTATTTGTTCATATTCATAATTATTAAAGAATATCTTTATATTGAAGATTGAAAAATAACGACAATTACCTTTTGAGATTTTACGTCTGAAAAAAATTCGATCTCTAATAAAAACTATTCTTTATCTTGTTATTGATTTTTATTTAATTGATGGCTACAGTTTTGAAATTACATCTTGTTTTGAACATCTTTTCAAAAGAAAAATAAATTTTTTGTCATCTATGAAGTCAATATAAGAAAGACAATCATACTTCAACAGATATTATTAGTATGACGAATTTATCTTCAATGTAATTCTGATATAGATGACTATTTCATTCTTCTTACGTGCAGATATAATAGTTTTTCTAAATAATATTATTAATCATGTTTTCTCTTTAAAGTCAATTGTAAGAGAAAGATGCTTAACATACAATCATTTCTGCATTCCATTCATTCAACTTTCATATATCTAATACAACTTACTGATTTTTCAACAGAAAAGTCTCCAAATTCATCTTACAATTATACTATACTATATGATAAAAAGTTTTGTTAGTTAGAGTCAATATCGAAGTGGCAATAAAAACTTCACCAAAACAATATTTTAGATAACAATATTATTCTATAATGTTGAATAATCGTCAGATAGTTGAAATAAAATTTTCATCCAAGATTTATTAAATTTTCTTTTTTGTTCTTTTCTTGCGCGACGATATTATTAATAGTCGAACTAAAGCTCTAATTTTAAAATAAAACTGAAGTTTTAATACAACAATATTGAACATTTTATTTATTGTTCATAAAAATAAGCAGTAACATTAAAAATGTTTATGACAAAAGTCGGAAAAACTCTGTACAATGGTTGTTGGTTTTATATTTTCTGAAATAGAAAATCATCAGTTTTATTTTTATTTTTGTATACATTCAATTCGCTGAGATATTGTACAGAAAATTCGATCGAAAATTCTAGTTTGTTTCCCATAATTCATACCACTCTTACCGTATCGATGATGTAATTCATGATCTTCAATACATAATTCCATGTCGAATGGTTTCAGTATTTCATTTAGAATGGCATGAGGCCAATAAGCACGTATACCCGAATGACCTGCCGCTTCAATATACATAAGTATGCATTGAGCAATCCAAAATTCATGTGCTGTTAAAGATACAACTAATGAAGCAACAAGTGGTACAAGAAATATTTCAATTATTTCTTGAATATTACCAGCTAAAATCGATTGTATTGGTGTTGGATGTTTAGTACAATGATGTAAACTATGAATTTTCCATAAGAAAGGAATAGTGTGACATGCACGATGATAACAATAAAAGAAAAAATCTAAAGTAATCAACCATAGACTTATTTTAATGATAAAAAACCATGAAATGGTATGGCCGAATGAAGGTGGTTCATTACGATTATATCCACCGATAATGAGACCACCACCAGTACGTGCTAACAAATAGATAATAACGCTAACAACAAGTCGTCTTACCATTTTATCAGGAACATAATCACGTGCTCTTTCATCTTCATTAAAAGTTCCATAATAATCCATGTAATAATGAATATGATATACAAGCATCAATGTGTAAAAGACGAAAGCCAAAAAGTAAAATACATAAGTCGCCAGTGGATGCCATGTATGATAATAATTATCTTGAGGTATAAAATGGTACCAAAGAGCTTGCACAATGAGTGCTGGAGATATCGCATAAATTAACCATAAACGTTCAAACCAAATATTATGAATTGGTGGTGCATTCGAATTTTTACGTTGAATTTCATAGCATTTTTTACTAGCAAGATCGATTGAAGCTAAATTTTCCCAAATATTGCGCTCTTGGAAAGCTTTGTTGACCCATTTCGACATTGCATGAAGTTTGTATGTTGTAGAAGATTGATTATATTGAGTTTCAATTAATGCTGTTGTTGTTGTTGTCATCGTTGAATATACGAGTCAATGAAAGATGAATATACAAGAGAGAAAATAATTGATGTTTTTGTTTCAATCTTATATTTATTATGTATTAGACTTCATGCATCATATGACTCTTATCACACTTTCTATTTACAGTACGAACTTTTATCGTCAGGAATACTCGACAAGCCTCTTGATTTTCTTTTACTTTTACTTTTATCTAAAAAAAACAAAATTTTACGTTTTGGTCATTCCTTATCATCGCTTTTTTTCAGACAACTTATCATTTTAAACACATCTATATTGTAAGCTAAATATAATCAGTCGCTTCTCCTTTCACATACACGAACTAACAGTTTGTGTCGATGTACCGAATGATTAATTGAATGAGAAAATCTGAATAATATTTATTGAAAAACATTTGTTTTTATAACAATGGTAAGAGATAGATATGTCTGCCAAGTTTTGTTGGAAGGAATGCGAAAAAAAGCATTGCATATTGTAAAATGATTTTGTTATTGTTGTAATAATCATAATATTATGATTATTAAAATTAATTTAATTTAATAGATAAAATGTGAATATATAAATTGATTAATATTATCATCAACGAGATATTTTGAATGAAGACCAATAAATTATTGACAATAGTATCAATAAAATGAAGTCAGTGAAGTATGATTGTAAAAACATTCTGTATTATTGATGATGTTCTTATAAGTAATTATTATGTCGAATAAATTGATAATTTAATTTAAATTTAATGAATATGTCTTGTAATCCGGAAGAAAAAAATCCGGAAGACAAAAAATTCGGAAACCAAAAATCCGGAAAATCAAAAATCCGGAAAAGAAAAATCCGAAAAAGAAAAATCCGGAAAAATCTCCCACGTCTTTATAACGAACAAGAAAGGATAGTAGTCTTTCATAACTCTTTCCTATTCTCTTCGTCAATCATGATCATCGTCTGTCGGGTACCATCCTCTCTGAATTCGATTNCATGAGATATTGATGAAACTTTGCATATATGTTGGGCTCATGGAAGTACATTAGTAAAAATATTTCACACCTGTATACTTTACCATGTAGGAGATATTCACTGGCCAAGTTGTAAATCAGGGCTTTTAGGCATACAAATTTTTTTCTAACAAAGGATGTGGGCGGGGGGGGGAGGGAGGAGCTGTCCTTAAAATGAAGTAAGAAGATATAGCTGTTGCAAAAGCTTCTTATATTGTGCCGAATTCCCTGGTGAACCTTTTAGAGTATATGCTTAAGACTGACTCATTAAATGAACCAGAATAGCAACAAAATACTACGGTGTCTGTCAAATCTTTCTTGTGTATCATTTAGGAGAAAATTGCATAGTACATCGTCTCCCGAGAAGATCAAACAATATTACTGAGACTTTACACACAAAAAAGCTACAAATAAAAACTAACCCAGTCATTTCTCTACCTGGCGACATTATTTATCATAATGAATATATTGGTAGAATACTTTAATACTGTTTCATCATAACACATCTGAAGAAAGAAAAATAATCGTAAAAATTTAAATCGACTAAGAATAATTCATTTCAGAATGAAAAGAAAAAGCTTAAAAAACGAGTAAATATATTATGCCTGTAGTACTTCATATATCTATATATATATATATATACATAGAGAGAATCACAATACTTGAAGCAAGTCCAACGTTTATGACTTCCTTTTGTTGATATTAATAATAAGTCTTTTTTTAAATGATTGTCTCGTATCATATTAAAAATAAATTTATAAAAGGAAGGAAGAAGCATGAAAACATGTCAAAGAAAGATGCATAGTGGAAGTTCCTATTGAACTTTGACTTTCAAATAATTCTATGAAAAAAGAAATCCTGCACATCAATCTTCAATATGTCTAGTTTATATCAGAAAAACTATCATTGGTAGAAAATTCTTGAAAGAAAAAGAAAAAAAAAGAATACGATATAAAATATTTTCATATATTATTATTTAAGGAGAAACGAGAACGGAAAAGAATAGAAAAAGAAGTGTCTTGTAACAGTTTCCATGAATGACGTCAACGTTTTCATATAAGATTAAAAACATTATCTCTTTTTTTCACAACAGTCATAACATTTATTTAGTTGAGATGGAAACGCATAAGTTAGTTGATGATAAAAAAGAAAATATCGTTCTTTCTTTATTTCGCCAAGTAGGATCGGTTCATGATAATATTGCATTTGTCGAATCGACCCCATCAGATTTGTCTATTAATCAAAATATTCGGTTTTCGAATAATTTAAATTCTCAAATATCAAAAATTAATTTAAATAGAAATAATTCTCAATCAATATCAATATCATTTCATGAATTAAATTATGAAATTGGTCATATAAAAAAACGAAAGATATTTTCTTGTTGCAAGTTAAAACCACGAAAACAAATTCTTTTTAATATTTCAGGCAGTTTTTCGACAGGCATGAATGCTATTCTAGGTAAATAGATTAGAACTTTCTTTCAATCTATTTGACATTTTATAGGACCATCTGGAAGTGGTAAATCATCTCTATTAGATATTCTTGCCGATCGAAAAGATAAAAATGGTTTATCAGGTTATGTTCTTGTATCAGGAAAACCTCGATCGAAAATTTTCAAATATTCAATTGGTTATGTTGTTCAAGAAGGTAAAGAATATGTTTGATTTTTTTAACTATACTCATTATATTTAAAAGATATAATTAATGGAACATTAAGTGTTCGTGAAAATCTAATGTTTTCGGCTAATGTTCGTTTATCACATTCAAAAACAATTAATGAACGTATTGAATTAGTCAATCAAATAATTCATGATTTAGGTCTTGAAACATGTGCTGATACTCAAATAGGTACACATTTTATACGAGGAGTATCAGGAGGAGAGAAAAAAAGAGTATGCATTGGAATGGAATTAGTTCTTTCACCAACTATACTTTTTTTAGATGAACCAACTAGTGGTATGAAAAATTATTAAAATTTAAAATAATATTTAGGATGTTTTTAAAAATAGGTCTTGATGCGTCAACAGCAGAAAATGTTATGAAATGTTTGTATAATTTATCACGACGAGGATGTAAGTTAGAAAGAAAATTTTAATAAATACATTTGATCAGAGTACTTTTCAAATCATGTTAAACCCATTTAACCAATGAAAAAAAACAACACATCGTTATATATTTAAGGTACAATTATTTTTTCAATTCATCAACCTCGTTATTCAATATTCAAATTATTTGATACTATTCTTCTTCTTTCTTCTGGTCGTCAAGTTTATTTAGGTCCAACAACTAATATTTTATCTTATTTTGCTTCTCTTGGTTTTAAATGTGAAGAACATGATAATCCAGCTGATTTTTTACTTGATGTTATTATTCAATGTAATAATTATTCATCAACTTTACTTGAAAATGCATATTCAAAATCGATAATAAATTCTAATTATGATAAATATAAAATAAATGAGAATCAATATGATAATAATATATTTGATGATATTATATATCGATCGCGTATTAATGAATTATATTATGTTTCTATTCGAACATTTCGTAATACAATACGAGATCCAGCAATTGCTACATCACAAATAATTGTTGCTACATTATTAGCTCTATTAACAGGTTTAGTTTTCAATCGAATCGAAGCAACAATTGAAACTGGTGTACAAAATCGTCTAGGAGTTATTTTTTTTATTATTATTAATCAAATTTACAGTACAACAACAGCTTTAGAACCATTAATTCAAGAACGTGCACTTTTTATTCATGTAAAAAAAATTTTTACAAATAAATTGTATTTTAAAATGATATTTGTTTTTTGAAGGAGAATGCAAGTGGTTATTATCGTGTATCAACTTTTTTTATGGCAAAATTAATTTGTGATTTACTTCCAATGCGTTTTATTCCTTCGATTATTTTTTCCGTCATTACATATTTTATGACAGGTTTTCAATTATCAACAAATAAATTTTTTATTTATCTATTAACTATTTTTATGACTACCGTATTTGGATCCGCTATTTGTTTTTTTGTTGCTTCTTTTATTCCAATATTTGGTATTTTGTTGTTTTTCAGTTCAGTAAAAATGTTTATTGTTTTTCTTTTTTCTTTTTCTTTTAGTCGTTTCACTTATTGTCATAGTGTTTATTTTTGTTGTTATGATGGTTTTTAGTGGTTTTCTTATTGATCTTAAAAGTATTTTTTCATTTCTTCAATGGATTAAATGGTTTAGTGCTTTTCGATATGGAACAAATTTATTAACAATTAATGAATTTCGTCATTTAAAATTTTGTTTACCAAATAATACACAAATTTGTCCATTAACAGGTGAACAAATCTTAATACAGCATGATATTGCTTATAATACGAATTGGGATATGTGGAAAAATTTATTAGCTTTATTAATAATGATTATGGTTTTTTTAATTATGGCTTTTATTCAATTATTAAGAATGAAAAAAGTCAAATAATCATTTATTTAGTATTTATCTGTTCGAAGAAATGTTCTTTTTTTTCTGATTGAAAAAAAAAAACATTTATCAATTGAAATAAATTTTTTCTTTCGACTTAAACTTCTTTTGATTTTAAGTGCTAAAAGAAATGTCTTTATAAAATTCATCAATTGATGTTATTACAATTGAAAATAATATCTATGGGAATCATTACATTTTTCTTTCATAATTTCAAATGACTTTGTTTCATAGAAAATGATCTTTGAAATGTTAAATATATGCTTTTTAATCTATAGAAAATGTTTTATATTTATATTTTAATTTCTACTCATTGAAGTTTCTTCGGAATCGAAAGCATGTTTTTTTTTCTTGGTATAAGAATGTCGAAAAAAGTGTATCAATTAGAGTTTGAAGGCACTATATTAAATGTTATCTTCTTTAGTTATTAAAAAAAATTCCTACTCTCGTACTTATTCACATGGGAACTAATGAGGTGGCCACCTGAATTGATACCCACCGTTTCAATTTATGTAGAGTCAAAATGGATGTCTAAAAG